TCGACAGAAGCTCCATGTTCCCCAAGTCCTCGGCCACAGGAAGTGCAGGTCAACAGAGACATCTCACAGGGGCTGAAACTGTGCTCAGTGTTTCTGAATGTTTGCTCCTCAGGCAACGACAAGAAGGCTCACTGTCCAGAATGCAAGAAGTGCACACACCTGGCTGTGTGAGGCGGTGAAGCTGGAGGGGGAAGGAGGAAAGTTGCTGACATCCATAAACCAAGGGCACACATATCTTTATGAATAAATGCTTTTACCTTTTTCGCATTGATACCCATGGGAGGGGTTGCCATTGGCATTCTTATTGTCTTTAACATACCCTCCCCCTTAAAGATAACACTGCATCTTGAGCTTCACTTTAGCAGCTGAAGAATAAATCATCAAGAATCCTGCTATAGCCCTAGCCGGTTTGACTCAATGGATAGAACATTGGCCTGCAGACTGAAGGGTCCCAAGTTTGATTCTTGTCAAGGGCACATGCCCAGGATGCAGGCTTCATCCCCAGTAGGGGGCATGCAGAAGGCAACCAATCAATGATTCTCTCTCATCATTGATGTTTCTATCTCTCTCTCCCTGCCCCTTCTTCTCTGAAATCAATAAAAATATCTTTTTTAAAGAGAACTCTGCTATAGCACCTTCCACGGGTCGTTTCGCACTTTTCCTGATGGATGATCAGCACCAACCCGACACTGCACAGTAAATTCAAAGTTGTCGTCAGAGAGTCCGCAAGTCAGGACAGTTCTCCTGGTTTCAGGAGGTTGCGCTGATTCACAACAGCTCAAATCTTGACCAGCAACATGCATGCGTATCTATCAGGTTTTCCTTAAGACCATGGAGCACAACCCTCTCCCCTAACTACCTCTCACTTTGTATGTTAATCCTGAGAGGGTGGAAGCGAATTCAGCACCGGGATGTGGACAGCTCCACTCCCCTTCTGGTGGGCATCCAGGTATGTAGCTTATCCTATGTTCCTTGAATTTTATATAAAAGGGTAATATAAACATGAGTCTGTGCTGTACATATGATTTATGACAGGGTTATTGTTAGGCTCAGGCTTAGGGATTGTTCTTCTTCAAGGACAGTAACACCCACAATTAAATGTAAGTTGTTGCAGAACCACATCCTGCATGGGTGAATGGTCAGATCTCCACAAAAGGCCTGGGGTGGGTGGGGCAGGA